CTTTAAAAGTATCGTGAAGTAGAATGTCTCACAAATTTATTCATTAACAAGTTTACGTCAAATGAAATGAAAACTCCTTTTTGTAGCATAATGAACCTTTCTTAGTAAGTTTGTAGTGTAAACGAAGCATAAACTATATCTATTATAGTTTATCATTAATGTTTTGTAGAGAAGAAAACCCATATATGTATGATTATTACACTTTTCATGGAAGTAAAATAGTATGGAAAATAATCGTTATGTATCTCTATGATATTACACACTTTGCTCAACATGTTACAAAGCGTAAATAAATCTATAACCCATTTTTCTAGTTTTAACCTTTCTATTTCTGTTGTTAGAAAAATTATATAAAAATCATCGTGAGTCAAAAACTGAATCTGTAAACTCTGAGAGTTTAGAAAATGAGTCTACTTTGTTCATAATTTTTATTATGATTTTAAGTGGTCTCAAACCAGTGTGAAAATGTTCACAAACTGGTCCGAAATCATTTCTGAAATGATAGACAGTTTTGTAAAAATCGCCATAAATTGTAGAAAAACCGTATGAATGCGTGCGAGTGGTCCTTAGAAAGGTATAAACCTGAACTATTTGTAGCTTGTACAGTTTTGAAAAATATTAAGTTTAAGATGGTAAAAACTGTCTGTGAACGAACCATAACTTTTCTGTTGAAAGCTGTTGATGAAGTTTAGAATATGTTTTGGTGTTGTAACTTGTATTCCCCCCTAAAACTTGAAGAAAAACATGAAAATGTAGGGTATGAACTCACATTGCGTGATTTCTTGTAGAGTGGAGGGTTGAGGATGAAGGATTTCAAGCCAAGAACTCTTTAACAACGCTTGAGGTTTCGACGGTTCTATGAACAATTATATGAATATTTGTGTAAATGAACACGATTTGTATAAAAATGTGTAGAAATATTTAGAAGTTGGAGGAAAATACTTACCAAAAATGGAGGAAATACTCAAGAACAGCCCTTGCAAAACTCGTGACTGAAATAGAGAGAGATGGAGAGAGAGAGAGAGAGAGAGAGAGAGAGAGAGAAGTTTGCTTTTGGTGAGAGAAAGTGAAATCCTGGAGAAGAAGAATGAAGATTTCTTGGATGGATTTGTTTAAAGTAACCTAATGGAGTGTTGGGAGACGTATTAAAAGGACAATGATTTGACTAGGTAGAGTGTGAATAGTGACATAAAGTAGATATAAAGGTGGCTTGTGTCATAACTTTATGGGAAAAGTCAAAAGTGCCTTTATGTCCTTTTGATATTATCCTAAACAAAGATATGATTTATAATTAATAAATCTTCATGATGTGGATAATATATGAGTTTAGAGGGTCTAAGATGTCAAAAAATATGAATTGGGTGAAAATCCCACGTCAAAAACATCAAAAACGGGCTCAAAATGTGAAATTGGTCAAAAACCGGACATGAGAAGGCGGGACTGCGAAGGGAAGGTTCGCAGTGAAGGCTGATGGCTCGGAGGCGGGTACTCTAGGTGCGAGAGTGAGTTTTGGTTCGAGAGGGTAGAGGCTGCGAAAGTCGGATGCCAATGCGAGAGTCACCGGGTGCGAACGTCGGACTCGCAGCGAACGTCGGACAGAAGTGCGAACTTGAGACAGCTGCGAAGGTCGGAAGAGGTGCGAACCTAGCCGAGGATACGAAAGTCCTCGGTTCGCAGGTGATAGGTTTCACATCAGGAGGTTTCGCATCTGAGAGGGTTCGCTTCCTGAGAGGGTTTTGCTTCTTGAGAGGGTTTCACTTCCAAAGTGTTGTTTTTCGTATTATCTTCCCGTTTCGAGTGATTTTCAACTAATTGAAGGGTCGGGATGGCACGGATGTTTATGAAAAAGTTGAAAGATATTTGGGGGGGGGAGAGAGAGAGAGAGAGAGAGAGAGAGAGAGAGAGAGAGAGATAGAGTGAGAGAGATTGGGAGAGACTGTGACAACCCGAAATTTCTATCTTATACAACCGTTCAATTCAATCGAAGTCAGGCTTGTTTTTGGCTATCTTTTAGCCCTGTTAAAGGTCTGTTTGGGTGTTTTAATCCTAGTACCTTAAAGGGTAAATTGTTCGGAAGTATCGTATAGAGTTCAATGTACAGCATACAAGCCGGAAACTCCACCATAAGGAGTTTACGGCCGTGAACTCTTCCCTTCATATGAGTTATTCCTTCATTTTTTTCACCTTTTTCACACACTTCCATCTCAAGAACTCGATTTTCTCTCAAGTATCATCAAGAACTTTCATCTTGATCTTCAATCTTGTAAGTAATCTTTCCATTTTCAAGTTGATATTCTTCTATATATAGTGAAGATTCATGTTTTCATCCATGGAATCATTCTTTTTGGTTAGATCTTCAAGTATTCACACTTTCACCAAGAACACTCACTAGTTCTTGGACCGTGAACCCCCTCCCAATCTTCAAAAACGTGAGTATATCTTCTATCTCCTAGTTAGGCTTGTTAAACTCTTGATTCTAGCCTTAGATCATCATAAAATACATGAGCATCAAGAGTTTACGGTCGTAAACCCGTGCATGGTCGTAAACTCTTGTGTTGATGGATGTTTTGGCCCTTAAACTCCCTTATATTCGAGCCTAGAATCAAAAGCACTTGTTGAATGCTTGATAGGACCATAAAACACCTCGTTTTCAAGTCCTCCCATGAGTGTACGACCGTAAACTTCTTGACCGTACACTCTAGGGCCGTATACTCCCTTAGGCCGTAAACACAATGGCCGTAAACTCCATTGTGTGGCCTTAAACCCATTTTATGCAATCCTTTGTACTTGTAACACTTCAATCTAAGTTTTTCCTAAGTCCTAATGTGTTTTCCTTACATGACTAGTTGTATAAACACTAATTATATACATATATGTGTCATTATATGCTAAATAGGATCCGTGTGTGTTCGAGTCCTCACTTGACACTTAGCATCCTACAACCGATCTTTCATTCGTATCACTCACTGCAGGTGAGTTCATACCCCTTAACTTACCTTTTAAATGATTTTAAATGCTTTTATGGGGGAATACAAGTAGAAACATTATAGTTATTATATCAATCACATGTGATTAATAACTATCAAACAAATGGATTTCTTATACTTCAAACTGTGTTTTCAAACAAATTGCTTCAAATTGTTTTACAAACTCTTTTATATGCAAAACTCTTTATCAAACTCTTTTAAACTTTTATTTTTTGAAAATCATGTCTATATAGATATAGTTATATAAGTAGGAGTGAAAGGACTTAGGACTGATAACTCGCCTTATTTCCTGTTCCTTGTTTGGTTGTGGACTTAGGGTATCGGTTGTTTGTCCGAAGGTCGTTTGAATCTTAGTTATATATTATGTGTATGTATATAGATATAAAAGTTCTTCATTCAGTTCAATACCTTTGGGTAGCAAAGGTGTACAAACATGTTCATTCATACAAACAACATTACTAGTAAACTATAATAGGTATAGTTTAGGAAGTCACTACTTACTATTTCTAGAACAATGAAACATACAAGAGTCAGTTCATACATGAGTCAGTACAAACATACTATAACGAGAGACAATACTCACTATAAAGAGAAACAGATAGAACATACTATAACGAGAGACAATACTCACTATAAAGAGAAACAGATAGAACATACTATACACTAGACAGAGAGAACATACACTACACTAGAACATACTATATACTAGACAGAGAGAACATACACTACACTAGAACATACTATACAAATACAAGAATACTATAACATTAATGTGAGATACTACTTCATGGCGCGGAAAAATAGTGTTGTGTCACGTTTTGTACCCAGAGTCTCCTAGAAGGAGAGCGTGAATTTGTGTATAGATCTATACGGGATTGACCATCCCACACCTTGCTGCTAGCTACAGTGGGACCTGCAGGTCTACGGGTGACGAATGTCATATCATTTCGACGTCTCGAACGTCGTGTTATACTAGTCGATCAAGTATGGTTACAATCTTATCACATTTTACCTTAATTAAACAAACAAGCTTAAGGTAGTTAGTACAATGGTAGTTACTTAGATAAAACTACAGTACATCTTTATTTTCCCATTTCATTCACATTGTGATCTTCTCACATAAACGGAAATGAAAACTATATTTTGGTAATGATAGTCATACTTTGGGAAAACACTCACTTTTACAAAAGAACAAACATAAATAACAGTTGGGTATTAGTAGAAGACTACTTTAGTAGAAAATATAGGATTTTCTAGGAAGTTTACAAACATTTACATCAAACACTTACAAACATTTACATCAAACACTTACAAATACTTTCTTCTAACTTATACAAACAATGACACTAAAATACTTATGAACTCACCAGCTTTAATGATGATCTACGCTTTCAAAATAACTTGTATCCACAGGTCACCAGTAGACAGGTACCGATGACCAGGTTTTGAGAAGATGGAGCACATTCAAGACTCATCTCTTATTTTGATTCATATTTTTGGTGTCTTATAAACTATACAGAACACACTTGTATTAAATTATATTATTAATGCAATGGATGATCTTGTTGCTTGTTTTACTATTATGCATTGTTGTGATACTGTACATGACGTCCTCCGCCCCCAAACGTTTTCGCCGTTCCGGTTTGGGGGTGTGACAGAGACTTTGTTTGTAGCCTTTGTTAGTGGTTTGCCCCGTAGTGCTAGGTTTGTAGACTCCACTACGCCATGTTATGAGTGTTATACATCCCCGAAGGATACGAAATTGAGTTTTATCGAGTAGTTACACTACTCACCCTATTTAGGGTTTAGATTTTCTGAACATTGGAAACTTCTGAGTGATATTTTGTATTAGGATAGAGAGTTGTACATTAGTAAACATAGAGTAAGCCCTAACATACAAGAACTAGTTGAGTTGACCGGTTTGACTCATTGACTTTGTTTAACTTTGCTCGACCAAAATTGACGGTTGTCACATCGGGTGCGATCATACCAGCACTAATGCACCCCATCCCATCAGAACTCCGCAAAAGAAACCACATCTTTAACAAAGGAAACCGCATAGAAATCAACTTGATTGTCCACACCAAATTTGATATCATCCCAATCATTTTCTGTTTTAAAATAGCATAAACGATTACATTCTCAAAAGAAAAAAAATTGTCATCTTGAAGGTTGTACTATTATTGAGTCTAACCAGTGATAGATGGTAGAGTTGTACTTTTTCCTCTAACATTTAAATGACATCTAGACTTGAGCTCTCCACCATCTATAACTTCACATTTTACTAAATCTTCTGTCTTCGATTTCACCAACGACATCATACCACCTTTAAATGATGAACAACATCTTATAACTTTTTAATAATCAAGAAACAAGAATTATATTATTCCTGTAAATAAAGTTGTCATGTAACATCCGATCAACCAGAAGCATGTCACTAGCTTCTACATCATTAACAAAATCATCATAATTAACACTAACACACATATATCAAATTCATACACACACATATATCAAATTCATACATACACATACATATAGTAAATTAATGTACCTGTGGTTGTAGAACTGATAGTGGTGGAGCTGAGGTGGTGATCATCGCCAGAGACAGGCAGCACATTGGCGGTGCTGCGATGGTTGTACAATAGTTGGGGAATGGAGGAATCTCCTTAAAACCATCAAAATCAGCAAAATTAGAAAAGGAAAGAAGAGAAAGAGAAAATACGGTGGAAATGAGAAAGGAATAAATACATTCGCCGGTGGAGAAGTTCGTCGGAGACAGACGGCACAGTGGCGGTGTTAAGGTGGTTGTAATGGAGGAATGTCCTTAAAACCACCAAAATAAAAAAAATAGAAAAGAAAGAAGAAAAACAAAAAGAGAAAGAGAAAAGACGGTGGAAATGAGAAAGGAAAACATACCTTCGTCGGTGGAGAAGTTTGTCGGAGAATCGGATTGTCACCAGTGGAGCAGTTGGTACGCCGGTGAAGAGCTGGAAATCACTCCGGCAGAAGAAGTGGGGTGCACTGGTGGTTAATAATCGATGGAAAAGATGCAATCGCCAAAGCTCATTGGAAAGTCGTTGCAATCACCGGAAAACATGAGAGAGAGAGAGAGAGAGAGAGAAATGGAGTGGAGGTACTAGTTCTGCGACCAGGTGGGGAGCAAAAGGGAGAATCTTCAGCGACAACGCCCTTAGCGGCGTCATTTGAACCTTTAGTGGCGACAAATTGGAGGAAAAACACGCGTCCATTTTTTTTGTTAGTTTTAGCGACGACATAATCATCGCTAATGGCGATATCGCTAGTACTATGAACAGTAACTAACCCTAGCCGTTGGATCAGGATGCAATCATAAGGCCATGAATTCATCCGGAGACATTCACACAGATCGTCAGTACCACCCTTTAGTCACGTCGGTATTAGCGGCGACCTGACCCTTTAGCGGCGACCAAAATGCATATTGTCTATTGTCGTCCCTAAAGTTACTTGTCGTTGCTAATGATGTCGTCCCTAAACGTTATATTTATTGTTGTGTTGCTAGGGATAGAGTTGCAAGATATATGCAAAACAGGAAAGGAAGATCATAAAAACCAAAGTTTTTATCCCTATACAACATTTTATGTTTAATAGAGAGTCGTATAGTACAAAAGCAAAAATTGTTATGCATAAATCATCTCCTTTATCTAAAATGTTTTTTGTTTTTTGTTTTTTTTGTTTTTTGTTTATTTTTTTTTTTTAGTTATCCCATTTTTGTAGCACTCGTTTAAGGATTATATCTCTTCATGTTGAACGTTCTAAAGAAATGACAACCTCATATTTTTAGGAAGACTTGAAGCGACACATTTTCCACACAAGACCAGGTTTTTGAAGACCATTTTCCGGAGGAACACGCCACTTTACTTGCTTCCCACGCGCTATAAACCTCCGATCTTTAGCAACTACACTCAAAACACATATGGCATCATCTGGTTATTCACAGTCGTCGGCATTGCACCTAGTCATCTCTAGCATTACTTTCTCTTTCTTGAAACCCATAGAAGTAGGCAGCATAGCCGCTTATTGGGGTCAACACACTGATGAAGGGACCCTAGCCGCCGCCTGCGCCACCGGAAATTACAAGTTCATAATGATAGCTTTCCTGACCACCTTCGGCAGCGGCCAAACACCAGTTCTGAACCTGGCCGGTCATTGTGATCCTGCTTCCAGTTGCTCCGGTTTATCCTCCGACATACAATCATGCCAGAACCAAGGTATCAAGATGTTTCTTTCTTTAGGAGGAGCTGTCGGGAGCTACTCGCTCTCGTCATCTGAAGATGCACAACAAGTTTCCGATTACCTGTGGAACACCTTTCTTGGTGGCCAGTCCAATTCCCGGCCGTTAGGTGACGCTGTTTTGGACGGAATCGACTTTGACATCGAGTCCGGATCAGGACAATTCTGGCCGGACCTAGCTAGGGCATTGGCCGCTCACAAGTCGGAGAAAAAGGTTTACTTATCTGCAGCGCCGCAGTGCCCTATCCCTGGATTCAGCAATCCAGACTGGCTTATTCGACTACGTCTGGGTGCAGTTCTATAACAATCCGCAGTGCGAGTATGGGGCGAACGCTGATGCTTTATTAGCTCGATGGAACCAGTGGACTCAGGTCAACTCCAATCAGATTTTCTTGGGTCTGCCAGCAGCGGATACATTCCGCCGGATGTTCTTACGTCTAGTGTTCTTCCATCGATCAAGAACTCTCCCAAGTATGGTGGGGTTATGCTGTGGGACAGGTTCTTTGATCAACAAAGTGGATACAGTGCAGCTATCAAAAACAGTGTTTGATAGATATATAATATAGGTATGTGTTTCTAGTTTTGAATAAGCATGGTCTATGTAAGAAAAAAATGTAGTTTCACCATGTTTACCTAAAATTTAATCCCTCTTGATTATATTTTTATGGGTTAATGACTTAAATAAGTGACATTTATATTGCCCTTATAAATCATTAACCCTTTTTTTTAATCTATAATTTCTGGTAGAATAAACAACATAAAAACTAATTAAAGTATCTAGTTTCTTTTCTTTTGTAAGAGTTTGCTCTAACCATTTAGTAAACTACAAGTTATTTCCTATATAGATTGTTGTCTTTTTTTATTCTTACATTTCATTTTACACCCTAGATAATTGTAGATATTATATATTTGTAGAAATATAAGTCTTTTGACACATCCATATAGTCACAACCCTTTCTTGGATGAGCCTCATTACTTAAAACTTCCTTCTCTTGAAGGTAGTCAATTAGGAGAATTGCCATGTCACTTCATGGTATATATAGTACTCTTCCTCATGTTTCATTATTCATCTTTTATATGCTCGGACATAAATATTTTACCTGTTGTGATATGAATCACCAAAGTCTCCCTATTTTTCAGTTGTTCCGATCAGATCCGGAAAATGAGAAAGGGATAAAGTCAAGGATTCCTCCTGTGTTGCATCCACTGCCTTTGTTCCTTCTTCAGCAGCGTCTCTTGTTTCGTTGGGTTTGATTCACCTTTTGTGAATTGGCTGTTTTGCTACCTCCTATTCTGATACAGCATCGGGTCTATCCTCATGACAGGTCTGGGATAAGAATTTGTTGCTTAGGCGAGTTTCTTTTTTGATTGGATGATGGAAAAACCAGCAAGCTACGGCTTGAAAGTTTACCTTCTTCTCTTCTCTTCTCGAGAAAGGTCTTTCTTTATAGATGAAGAAGCTTATGGCAACTTTCCTTGTATGTTGAGAGGGTGTTGAATTTGTGTTTCTTAAGCTTCAATCTCACCACACATTAGCCATTAGGTACTGTTTGTTTAAAGAAAGAGGTTAATTATCAAAAGCTCACCAATCACAGTAATCAGTACTAAGAGCCATGCATGCTGAATAGAAAAACGTATTTGTTGTCACACATAGCTATTGGCTGAGATGCGCCTTTTCAGCAACTCCCTAGGCCACATCACATGCCGCCTTAATTTTGCATTCGATGACCATTGTATCCAAGGGAGTCAAACAGAGGGTTCTTTTCTTTTGTCAATAACACAATCATTTCAATGCTTCTACAATTAAACTCAAATAATGACAACAAATACTACTATTATTTTGCCAACAATCAGAATTCGCTACACATATTAAAGAAACTAAATTAAATTGCAACTTAAGTTGATAAAGAAGCACAAAAACATTAGGTAGTAGAATTAAAACCTTACGCTAATTGGATGACAAACAAAAATAAAATAAGAATAATAATTCAAATTGGTCTCTTCTTTACTGCTGAGTGCTGATCTACACCACCTTTCTGACCTGAATATTGTGGTTGGATTGAAACCGCCAAATGGGGTTTCTCCCGCTCTGAAGAAGAGCTACATGCTCACCTTCCTTCATCATCCCTTGATTCTGTACACATTTATATTTCATTCAATTTACTTTACTTTTTCATTCATAAGTCATAACTCATAACCATAATATATTATGAACTAAAAACAACAAATACTTCTTCTTATGATTGAATCTCACCTTCAAGAGAGAAAGAGCATCTGCAAATGTTTTCTCAGAATCATCTGAGAACTCCATGTAAATGGGGCAAACTCCTTGATACAAAGCCAATTTCTGCTGTACCCTTTTACTGTTTTTAGACACACATTATCCAAATTCAGTAACAAAATCTATAATATATATATATATATATATATATATATATATATATATATATATATAAACTCATAATTTTTTATTAAAAAAAAAAAAGACTTACTTGTCTGTGAAGGCAAATATAGTGCCATTGGGTCGATAATGGCTGAGTAGGACAGCCATGGAACTTGTTCTAGTGAATACAACAATTGAAGTTCCAAGAGTGTTTGACATTGATGTAGCATGGTATGCAAACATTTCACTAATATGGTTCTTTAACAAAAAAAAAAAAAAAAAAAAAAAAAAAAAAAATTAACATTTTATTAAAGTAGAAAAGAATAACATAAATTATATATATGAAAAAAAGCAGTTATCCACCTTAAATGCTTGATTAAGACTAGAAAGTGTTCCCCCGCTCATTAAGCTTGATTCGGTTCTTAACGACACTGTGTGCATCACATTAACTGCTTTTAGAGGAAACCTGCAATTTGACAAAATAAATAAATAAATAAGAATATAAGTCCTAATACATTAAGGCAACCCATTAAGTCGCTCAAGATTAAGTCAAAAAAGAAAGATGTCTTACTTTCCATGAGCAGTTTCTCCAGAAAGCATGACTGCATCAGCACCCTCTCTAACAGCAATAGCAATGTCTGACACCTCAGCACGGGTAGGAGTAGGATGAACAATCATGCTTTCAAGCATATTTGTTGCAACTATTACAGCTTTTCCCATGCTACGACATGTCCTGATTATCTCTTCCTATAATTTCATTACCACACGACTTATTTTATTAATCCACTGTTTTTTAATATCTATGCTAAAACTAAAAGTACCCTTTCTTCTTTACCTGCAACAATGGAACCTCTTCAATTGGCAGCTCTGCACCAAGATCCCCTCTTGCAACCATGGCCTAAATTAAATCAAAACCAAGATAACCACATTAACAAACTTCCAAATTCCATATGAAGAATAAAACACTAAATTTAAAAATTTACCCCATCAGATGCTGTGATAATTGAATGCAAATTTGGTATGGAGTCTGCACTTTCAATCTTTGGGATAACTTGAATATCTGCACCACAGCCTGCCAAGACAATAAAGAATTTATAAGAGTAATGCAACTTGAAATGCAAAGATCTTGGTGACTCGTATAATTTACTTACTTTTTAGATAATTCTTCAACTCATGGATAACCTCTGCATCTTTAACAAAAGAAACCGCATAGAAATCAACTTGATTGTCCACACCAAATTTGATATCATCCCAATCCTTTTCTGTTTCAAAATAAAATAAACGATTACATTCTCAAAAAAAATTGCCATCATAAAGGTTGTACTATTATTGAATGAGAGTCTAACCAGTGATAGATGGTAGAGTTGCACTTTTTCCTCTGACATTTAAATGGCGTCTAGACTTGAGCTCTCCACCATCTATAACTTCACATTTTACTGAATCTTCTGTCTTCGATTTCACCAACAACGACATCATACCACCTTTCAATGGTGAACAACAACAACTTATAACTTTTGATAATCAAGAAACAAGAATTATATTATTCCTGTAAATAAAGCTGTCAGGTTAACATACCATCAACCAGAAGCATGTCACCAGCTTCTACATCATTAACAAAATCATCATAATTAACACTAACACAGTCTGCTGTACCAACACCTCTTTTTATTGTGAAAGTGAATTCTTGGCCACTTGCTAAGTTAACTGGTTGTGGCAAGTCCCCACTCCTGACCTCAGGTCCCTGCAAAAAGGCATCAGTTGATTAGGGAAAAAGGTTGAGTTGATTGTGTCATTGGGTGGGACAAAAAATTGGAATTGGTGATATGAGGAAACGTGCCTTGGTGTCAAGCATGATTGCAATGACATTATCCTTATGTTGAGCATTGTATTCTTTAACCAGATCAATGACTTTCTGATGAGAAGAATGATCTCCATGTGACATGTTTAGTCTTGCAACATTCATCCCAGCCTCAGCCAGCTTCCATATCATTTCCTTTGTGTCAGTGGATGGACCAATTGTACAAACAATTTTCGTCTTGCGCTTAATTATGGGCTTCGACCACATAGCAACTGAACTATCACCCTTTCCTAAAACTTGATAACTCTGCTCTCCTATCTGATTAACGCATTGTAATTTTGAATTAGGAACAACAAATGTGTGCAAACATACAAACAACGATTTCGTTTAACGACAACATTTAAGCCTAAAATCAAATGAAGTGGAGAAATTACAAACCTTAGGTATATCTTCAGGTGTGACGGGAACAACCTGGAGGTCCGCCGTTCTCCTTGCGGTGACGGTAAGAATACGATGGTGGCTGGGGATAATCCGGCCATTGGAAGCGAAACCAGAAGGTTTGATCTTCTCAATCTGATTGTTAAGAGATCCATTGGTGAGAAATGAATTATGAAGCAACTTGGTAGCAACTACTTGCGCCATTGTTGTTGCTTGGAAATATGACAATGAAAGTGAAGAAATCAAATCAACTGAGAGAGGAGGATGGTGAATGAGGTTTATAAAGCGTGGGCGATGTTTTCTGAGGGAATTTGTGATTGGAGAAATCGATGGTTGATTTTGGAGGAGAGAGAACAATCAACAATGGAGGCCTCCTAGAGTGTATCGAAGAACCGAAATCGAACAGGTGAAGTAGTTGGCTGGGTGGCTGAGTAGCTGGCTGTTACAGTGTTAATCCCCGTACCCGGTTTAGCTCTGTTTTTAGGTATTTTAAAAAAACCGGTACGGTCCAGGTAGTTGGTCCAACCGTCTACAATGGGCCTTGCTTTTTAAAGTATTCAATACTTAGTTGATGTTGAAAAAAAAATAAATAAATAAATAAAAATCCAAAGTCAAACCAAAACTAAATTTTATCATACCACTTCAAAATTAAAAAAGAAAAACTAAAATATAATGATTTTTATGAAACAATTTATTACAGCTATGTGCCTATGTTTCATTCGTGTTTGAGTTTGCATTATGTTAAATTAGGGTTTAATGAAACCTTCGGAAGTAAAATGCATATAATGATAAACACTGATTTACTAAAATGAAACCTAAAGACTAGAAAAATCATTTTAAAATCCAGTTTTTATTGTTAAGCATTTTTTATACTTTATTAACTTTTTAAAGAAGCTAATAAATGGATAAGGAGTTTCAAAACATAAAACCAAACACTCCTAATATCAGATCTAACCCATTTTACATCATTTTGTGTATCAAAATGATGTTAAAAAGTTGTAAAAATAATGATTCATCTAGAATTCATTACACTAAAAATATATTGCTAGTCTTTTTTGTAGCTTCTAGATTGTCAAAACCACATTCTATTTATTATCTAACTTTATAAATTATACTATGATATAGTTATACATGATTAATATATATATATATATATATATATATATATATAATTAACTTAAAATATATATGTATACAAAATAGAAATTATAAATATATAAATCTAAAATTAGAAGGACGAAAGATAACATATGAAGTTTACCAGCATTTGATGAAAATCAATGCTAAATTTGGCTTTGTATTATGTCTTTATATACCAATGGTGCAAAAAGTTATATTGACGCACCCGAAAATAAGATGTTGTTTGTTTTTTCTGAGGCAAAATGTTTGCAATCTGCGGATTATATCTGCAAACATTTGCAGTAGAAAAGGTTGACCAAACATCTGCAGTCTGAAAGAAGAAGATTGTTTGTTTTTTAAAATCTACATGTTGTTAAAATAAACTAAAATCTAATTAAACTGATATATTTTAAAACTTATAGGAGTTTTTCAATAATTTTATGACTATGATAGATAATTAACAAACGTAGATCAACTTTTATGTACTATTGTAAAAAAAATGAAAATAAAATGGTACAAATTAACGTATATATTTGATAAAAAAAACCCAACAAACTTTGATCGAAAAATTATACCTAAACTTTGTAATTAGGGATAAAATGATTTAACACATAAAATGGATGGAAATAAACTTTGATTCTAAATGAAATTTTTAAAATTTTCATTTTACCTTTTCAATTAAATCAATTAAAAACTGATCACAAATATTTTTCCCAAGAAATGAATGATACCACATTAAATAACATTTTATAAAATTTGGCACAAAAATATAAGACAATATTAAGATTTTTTTTTCATATCTATATAAACAGTTCCAACGACCATTATTGTAATTAAATATTTATTTATAAATTTGTCACAAATGTCATGATTGTGTCGTCGAACATTTTTTCTTTAAGTATTGTAATTTTTTATTCCAAATTGTTTATCATTGTTGGGTTAATCGGATTTTAATCCGTGGGTTTTTCTTTGGAAGTTTTTAATTTAATTGCTTTTCTAGTAGTCAAATAGCATTTGTTTCGGTATAAATGTGAGATGTAGATGTCTTTGTAATTTAATTCCAGAACTAGTTTTCAAGTATATTATTCATTGTTTTCAGTTTTGTCTCGTATTCCTCTATTTTTGTTATTTTGTTTCTTTGCCTTGGTACACAAGGTGCAACTTTTTGTTTACACTTGGTATCAGAGCGGTTTCGTTGAAGGGGGTGTGATTCGAGGTTAATTACAATCAACTTCGGTTTCTTTTAATCGGGCTTGTGAGAGACTAACCGGAGGCGCGAAATAAACGGACGAGAAGACGTCAAAGCAGGTTGTTTTGATTTAGTTTGTTTTGCAGGTGACGGAAGACGGTAAAGGTGGTCGTGACCTTGTCTTGTTTTCCGGTGGAAGAGTGCTCTCGGAACAAGTTTGATTAAAGAAGTCGAGGTTAAGGAGAAAAGGATGTCGTTGGTTAAAGAAGGAGGTTCGATGACGTATCAAGTTCCGGTTTTGACTCCAACGAATTATCTGGTGTGGGCGGTCAAAGTCAAGTCGATTATGGATGCACACGGCATATGGGAGATGGTCGAACCAAATGCGTTAGGTGAAGCATCGGATCAAAAGAAGTCAAAACAAGCTCTTGCCTTTTTGTTTCAAGCGATACCCGAAGACATGGTGTTGCAAATGGCGAGTTACACCGAACCAAAGAAAGTGTGGGATGGGCTAAAAACACGGTATTTAGGAGTGGATCGGGTGAGAACGGCTCAACTTGCAACCTTAAAAAGGGAGCTTGAAAGCTTGTGCATGAAGGAGGGTGAAACGGTCGATGATTTTGTGACAAAATTATCCGGTTTAGCTTCAAAAGTAAGGAGTCTTGGATATGAGCTTGAAGAAGGTGATTTGGTAAAAAGGTTACTAGATTTGATGTTGTAACACCTGATTCCTGGTATGTATTTTATTCAAGAATTGTATGTATTTTCTCTGGGACTCGACGAGTTGGTGGCCCAACTCGTCGAGTAGAGTCGGGATCCACGGGAAGCTTAAGTGACCTACTCGACGAGTCGGAGACTGACTCGGCGAGTAGGTGTTGTTTGAGTGAAACCCTAAATTTGAGGGTTTGCACCCTATTTAAACACCTTATCTTAGCCTCCATCGTCCCTATCACTCCCAGAGAGTTGTATATCGAAACCCTAGCCGTTTTTGTGTGTTCTAAGGCCATTTTGGTGCATTTGGTGGATTGTGAAGCTTGACAAGAAGAAAGAAGCTTGAGAGTTCGAGTTGAGGCTTGGAGATCCAGAGATTTTGGTCCATTTTCAGCTCAATCAAGGTAAAATGCCCCTGTCTTGGTCTTCCATATGGTTATTCATCCTTAGGGCTTAGATTTTGGGTGCATTTAGGGCTTTCCAAGCCATTTTCAGATTTGTGGAGTGTTATATGGAGTCTTACCCTCAGATCTGAGTTATTGGAGGGGTCTCATGGCATAAAGGTGCCAACTCTATGGCCATGAGAGCCCCATGCACCTTGTAGATCACTTTTAATGGCCTTTTGAGCCAAAGACCCCTTTCATGTGCACCAAGTTGGAAACTTTACGTGTAAAATGGACATTAGGGGACCAGATCTATGGTTTTAATGAATTAAGACCCATCTAAATCGACTGTATGGTAATGGTCATGGATGGGCTCGACGAGTCGTTCTTGGGACTCGGCGAGTCGGTGTGTATTGACCACTAAATCTTTTCTATGGATGGACCAGTTATTAGGGAAGGAAGTCCCTTAGTTTTTTAGACGCAAAAAGGGGGCCTGGGAATCATGGATGGGCTCGACGAGTCGTTCTTGGGACTCGGCGAGTCGGTGTGTATTGACCACCAAATCTTTTCTGTGGATGGACCAGTTATTAGGGAAGGAAGTCCCTTAGTTTTTTAGACGCAAAAAGGGGGCCTGGGAATCATGGGACTCGACGAGTGGATGAACAGACTCGGCGAGTCCAAGGCAATCTCCCAATATTTGAAGATGGACTCGACGAGTTGTTCATACAACTCGGCGAGTCATAGACTGGACACTTTCTTATGAGGGAGATGAACTCGACGAGTTCAAGGATGAACTCGACGAGTCGGTTGAAGATGGTAACAATGGTTTGAATGAAGGAGAACCCATCGAGTTCTTGCTAGACTCGACGAGTAGAGTCGGGGTTGGATCGGGTTAGTGAAGTATGGACTCGACGAGTTGGTAGACCAACTCGGCGAGTCAGGTCAACTGGGTGTTGACTTTGACCAATATTGACTTTGACTGGACTTGAGTTGACCCTGGTTAGGGTTGTATATTCCATTTGATGACTTAGAAGGGTCGTCGTGTAGGGATTGAGGAGTCGAGGAGAGTCGATCTTCACGCAGGGGACATTTCAGACACTACACGACATTGAGGTGAGTTACCTTCCAATAGGAGTGGGTCTACGGCCACAATGTCGATCCACTAGTAGGAATTATTTGTTAGATGATTGTCTTTGTGATAATTATCTGGTGTGTTGCTATCTGATATGCTTTATGTGCTAGGATGCTATGATATATGTGTCAGTAGTGGTAGGGGTGATATGACCCCTAGTTACCGGTTGAAAGATAACGAAGGGGAAGATAGTACCCATGCATGCCTAGCAGTATGATTATGATATGTTATTATGTGATAGTGGTAGGGGGTGAAATAGTCCCGGGTTACCGGTTGAAAGATACCGAAGGCAGTTACCGGTTGAAAGATACCGAAGGGGAGGTTAGCTCCCGGTTACCGGTTGAAAGATACCGAAGGGGAGGTTAGCTCCCGATTACCGGTTGAAAGATACCGAAGGGGAGGTTAGTCCCTGGTTACCGGTTGAAAGATACCGAAGGGGAGCCTAGCTCCCAGTTATGCCAGACAGATACCGGTTGAAAGATACCGAGAGATAGGCATTATGTGGTATGTGGTATGATGGGGGGAACTCACTAAGCTTTGTGCTTACGGTTTACAGTTTTGGTTTCAGGTACCTGTTCAGCGAAGGGGAAGGAGCCGACGCGGTAGCAGCACATCACACACACACACTGGATTCCGCACTATGAGACGCCTGGGATTGTACTCTGAATTTCATTTGGTTTTAAGATACGATATTATGGTTTTGTGGATTGATGTAACAATGGCGATGTTTTGGTTAACTATTTTATAAATTACTTAATTAAAATGAAATTTTTGGCCTTGAAAATTGGGATGTTACAAGTTGGTATCAGAGCCTTGGTTTGAGGGATTCGGGCACGCTCTCGAGTGTGTCTGGACTCAAACTAAGGACTTGGTATATAAATTTTCAGAAGTAAAATCATTTTATATAAAGGAATTTGAAAAGAAGTTTGAAAAGAG